AAAAGAAGAAACTGAAAAATAAAATGGATAGAACCTGCTGGATTGGCAGGGAAGAAGATGAAAATTACATTCATTCAACTTAAGAAATTACATTGCATATTATTCTATTTATAGAGAAAAACTAACAACCTATCTAACAAGATAACAAACTAAGAACAATCTAGGATAAGCTAGAATTTGGTGGAAGAAGGCGTTGCTGTTGAACTCGTGCTGATGCTGTGAACTGGAGAGGATGAGTTGAACTGGAGAGATGCTTTGCTGAACTGGAGGCTGGGGATGTGTTCTGGTTTTCTGGTGGACTGGTGGTTAACAAGTGGAATATTCCAACATTAATTATAGCTTAGGATATCAGATTGTTATTTTATAGGCTTGGTCTAACTAATTAGCAAGTTTTTAGGTATCTTTCATTATATTATGTATTTTATTTCAAAGTTCTACTCATGCCGTAGGTAGGGAGTTCTTTTTTTTAAATGAATAGAGCACCATTTTATTATGAAGGCATATCAACCTAACTACAGGCCAAATGTTCAAAGAAATACAATCCAAACAGTTCATAGTGTTAGAATTTGGGTGTGACCCAAATTCCTTATTGAAGTAATTGAAGAATTCTAATTAAAGTACACGTCAAGGAAAATTCAATTTGGAATGCTATTAGAGTTCTATGTAAAGTTGAAGTTCTATTTTGGAAGCCTATTGGAAGTGGAAATTGGTATTGGATTTGAAGAGAAGTTTGAAATGAAGAAAACAATTTGAGTAAAAAAAAAAAACTTAAAATTGGGGTAGGTTGCCCGGCGTTGCGGTGCCACATGTTTTGCCTCGTTTTTTCGCATTTTTTTTCTCCTATTTCGTTTTGGACTCGATTTTTTGGTATCATATTTCATCAACAACTCTACTAAGAGGGTTTGGACGTCCCCTACATGTTTTCTATAAATATTAGGTTATTTTATACAATTTGATAAGTGTGAGAAAATATATTAATAGAATTATAAGATCTATTGTAATTTTTCTCTCTTCTCCATTAATTTTGAGTCAATAAAATCTCTTAATTCATCTACCATATTTCTTGTCTTTATTATTCTTTTGCTTGATCATTATTGTGCAAATAACTTCAACATCTCAATCCGATTATTTGTTTTAGAACAAGTGGTATCAGTGCAATTCTGATATCTTGTTTGTTTTGCAACAAGTGGTATTAGAGCTTAAGTTCAGTAGTTTCGTAGAGCGCAATATTTGATTTGTTCGAAGTTTTTGTTCGTGATGGCTTCCATGAAATATGAAATTCCGATTTTGGATCGGAGCATTAGATTTTTGTTATGACGGGTTAAGATGCGCGCAGTACCCGCACAGTTGGATTTGGATGATGCGTTGCTAGGAATTGACAAGATGTTAGCAACTTTGACCGCGGAGGAGAAATTACGGAAGGATAAGAAGATAGTTTCTCATGTTCACATTCATCTTCATCTATCAAATACAATTCTTCATGAAATTTTAAAAGAGAATTCAACAGCTGCTTTATGGTTGAAGTTTGAGCAATTGTGCATGACTAAAAGTTCGACAAGCAAGTTGAATCTCAAGCTGCATTTATACTCTCATTGAATGGTAGAAGGAGGATCATTGAAAGATCACCCGACTGTATTTAATCCTATTATGTTCGTTGCCCGCTTTCTTTTCTTCATTTAGAGACACGATCTTATACATTCGTGATACTCTCACCATGGAGGAGGTATATGATGCTTTATATTCAAAAGAGAAGATGAACCATTTGGTTTCTGAGACTAGTGATGGAGAAGGCCTGATTGCTTATGGTGGTTTTGGAAGGGGCTGATCGAAGTCTAAGTTCAGTAATCAGATTTATAACTATTGCAAGAAAAAAGGGCACTTGAAGAAGGATTAATAGTATTAGGTGTTCAAAAGTCCCGAACCGAACCGGACCGAACCGAACCCGAACCGAACCGAGCGGTTCTTCATAAATTAAATACCCGAATGGGTACCCGAATCGAGAACC